ATGCATGGGTTAATTCACTTCAAAGGGTAGGGTGACACACAGAAGAAAGAACTAAGAACTACTCTCACTAAAATACAGTCTAAGCTAAGTAGAGAAAGAACAAGAAAAGTATCATTCCTGTACTTCTAGTATACATACATCTTTAGTCTATACTTGCTATTATACACTCATGCAACCAATACCCCGTACCCAGTGTCCTCTCGAGAGACCACCCCTAGTTGCCGAGTTCCATACGACAACCTGTCATGGCCATACAACCGGGGCTAAATACGGAGGAGTACCCTCCCCAGGAAATTGCACTTAGGATAATATACTCATGCAGAGGGCACCCGTACTGAGTCGTCACCATTAGCGGCCAGCCTCTGAACCACTGTATATTACCCCAATTAATGGTATCTAATAATCTAAGCACCGCGCTTACATTACTAAATACTACTCTACATCCTTGCAACCGACATAGAGCAACCGGATACTCGGACACTAAACCCACACCAATACACCTATCTGGAAAGCTAGTTACATGACTATATTGATTCGAGTATAAAGTAAAGTCGGTACTCAAGTAATATGAATGGAATAAAATACCGAACTTGTATAAAGAAGAATATTCTATTAATTCAATAAGTCTTACAAAAGAAGAGAGGGAAGCTACTAGAGCCATACCAGAAATCAACTGAAGACTTGAGGACTATGAAGACTATTTTATTTCCTACTCCACTAGCACTAGAACTACTAAACTAACTTGGGAGAGCTCATGATCTTCTTCTTAAGGTGTGTGAGGGAATGAATGAGAGGTGGGGTATTTATAGGTGGAGAGGTGCCTTGGGAGTGTGGAGATGCTTCAAGCATCCTAGGAGCATCTTTGCTCTCGTCATGACATGTGGCATGATGAAGCATCCAAAGAGCATATTTCATCTCTTCTTGCCATGTGTCCACGATGTTTTCTTCAGGTAGAATTAGCTCCAACCGTCATAGGATGCCGGTAGTAACCGCCTGGCCGAAGATGGGCAGGATTGGGCCAGCTGGGGGTTCGGCCGAACCAGGGGTTCCGCCGAACCTTAGCTGGCTCCCCTGGCCCACAGCCTTCTTCAGGATGCTGACATGTGGGCCCCACTTTATGGTACACAATGTTTTGGCTCAGAATGATTGCTCATTTCCGAGTTCTTGGCCCATCCATCCATAAGTCTGATTCTCGACAGCGTCCGTTTGATTGATCGATTGTTGTACTGTCGATTCTCCTCCATTTTGATAGCTTCTCCTGCATGGTTAATTTTCCAAGCATATAGTGGAATAGAATATTTTATTTATGGAATAATGCATTGCAAGCATAGCTAGTGTTCATTAATTGGGTAATATTGACGGTCGAAACTGGTCGACAATGACTGTCAACAGTATCCATGGTAGAGATGTCCTTATTATCCTCCCATTGTTTGAATTGAAGTCATCCTTGACTCAAGCTCATGCTCTCCGCCCAACTACGACTTTAGATCAGCCACACTGAAGGCATCGCTAACAATGTAATCTACAAACAACTAAATCTTGTATGCATTATCATTAATCTTAGTAATTGCTTTAAAAGGACCATCGGCTCTAGGTATCAATTTTGACCTGTGCAAGTATGGAAATATTTCTTTTCTCATGGGCAACCACACGAGATCACCAAGTTTAAAAGTTAATTCCCTTCGACCCTGATTACTAGTGACCTTATACTTGTCATTCATGCGTTCTATGTTCTCCCTAGTGGTTTCATGCAGCTTTAAGACAAATTCAACACGTTTAGAAGCATCAAAGTTCACTTTTTCAGAAGATGGCAAAGGTAAAATATCAACAGGAGCATGAGGATTGAAATCATATACCACGTGAAAAGGGTTCGAGTGCAATGAGCGATTGTATACAAACTCCACATGAGTTAGAGACTCTTCTCACATCTTCAAATTCTTTTCCATATAAGGCCGCAACATTGTTGATAATGTGAGATTGACCACTTCTGTTAACAGCGATGACTTATTGAAGTCAAATTCTTTTGTCCATCTGCTTAGCGATGATTTATTGTGGAAAATAGCAGCTTGGTCCCCAACTTGTTCCACAAAGTTCTCCAAAAATAACTCAAACTGTGTCACAGTCTGAAACAACTGTAGACATCACTTCGTTTAAGTGAACGGCTTCCCTAAAAAATAACTCATCGATTTGTGTAGCATCATCGCTCATATGAAAATGTATAATATGTGGCATCATAGAAAATCTACAAATATATACTATCCCTCCCCCTCTTAGTCCTATATAATCTCAAAACAAAATTAATTGAAATATCCTCCCACAGAACGCTAGGAACAGAAAGAGGCATGTACAAACCATGTGATTTAGTCGAGACTTAGCTTTATTACACGTGGTACAATGGGAAACGCAGTGCTCAATGTCTCGCCTCATCCTTGAGCAATAGAAGTGGCTAGCCAACACATCCTCCGTATTTTTCATGCCAAAATATGCCATCAAGCTGCCTCCATGGGCTTCCTATAATAACAATAAACGAACGGAGCTAGCTGGAATGCATAACTTGTGAGATCTAAATACAAAACCATTAGTAATTACAATTTTGTTCCACATTTTTCCTTCCATACAGTACAATAAAAAACCTTAAAATCAACATCATGTACATAATGATCTTTAATCGCTCCCAAACCAAAAAAAAATTGAAATCAAATTGTGAAAGCATTAGCAATAACATTCTCCTTATCCTTATGGTGTTTTATGACATAAGGAAAAGATTCACAATTACTATATGATTCAGTTTACTTTGGCTTCGAATATGCTTCAAAGATTAGTGATTAGAATGTATAACAAATTCCTTGGGCCATAAATAATGTTGCTAGGTTTCTAAAGTTTGAACTAAAGCATATGATTCTTTATCATAATTAGAGTACTTCAAACTAGGCCCATATAACTTATCACTAAAATAAGCAACAAGTTTACCTTTTTGAATCAGCACACCTTCGGTCCCAAATCCACTAGCATCACAATCAAGTTTAAGGGTCTTACCAAACTAAAGGAGTTGGAGTAGTGGCGCATGTGTCAAATTATCCTTCAACAAGTTGAAAGTCTCTTCTTGGGATTGTCCCCATTGGAACAGAGCGCCTTTATCCGATAGCTCATTCAATGGTGCGGCAATGGTATTAAAATCCTTCACAAAATGATGATAGAAAGATGCGATAGCGATGGGACGTTTATGAGGCATACCATAGCGATTACTGTTTATGGTAGTTAAGTGCAAACTTTAACCATCAACTCCTGCATAAAAAAATGTAAAATAGAATACCAAACTTACTGGTAAGGGTTTATTACTAACCATTTCCACTAGAATTGGTAAATGTGAGTATGCAAGTGAATGCTGGAGGAAGATTCACCCGCCATGCGACGATATGCACCTCCGACCAAAGATACATGTCAGTCAAAACTGACTAAACTTGAGCCAATCCACTGCTAACCGTCATAGGACCCACCTGTCATTCACTGGATAAAGTTGATGGCTGGTGACGGTGGAGCTGGTTCGGCTGTCAGTTGAACCTGTGCTAGCACCCCCAACCATCCCCTTGCATGTGGCAGCCTTCCATTGGATAGTAATGGCAGTTGTCGGTGAACCGACCTCTACAACCATCATTGAAGGCTATAAAAGCAGGAGCTCAAGTCACTCTCCAATGCAAAACAACTCACTTATATTTTAGGCACCACTTTAGTATGCGGAATTAGGTAGAGAGTGAGGGGAAAATACGAAAGGAGTGCCCCAAATATCGGAGTTCTCTCCAAAAAGTTCTGGAGAAGTGTAGGGTTTATCGACATTCTTCCATTGGAGTTTCAGAGAAGCACTAAAGTTATCGGCATTTTTCTCTCGCTTGTACCTTGGCGGATGCTTCTTTTAATAAATTAAGTAATCGAGCTCCGCCGGTCTATAGAGGGGAGAAAAGGAGGTAGAGGCGTGATCTCTGGAGGAGTGTCTCAGCTTTGTAATATCACTCACATGGTTCACGGGGGGTGCTATTCTAGTGACCGCCTGGAAAATTAGTTTTCATGGTCATTGACTTAAAACACTATGTTTGCAGGTGGGGATTTAATTTTACAAAGTGGAAAACAATCACACTTCTAAGGCTCTGTTCGGGAGTGAGGGTTGGGAACCCTCACTCCTCGGCACACAAAACGAAGCAGTATTTTAGTGCGTGATTAATTAAGTTTTAGCTAATTTTTTTTCAAAAATTGATTAATATGATTTTTTTAAGCAACTTTCGTATAGAAACTTTTTACAAAAAACGCACCGTTTAGCAGTTTGAAAAGCGTGTGCGCGGAAAACGAGAAAAAGGAGTTGGGAACTTGAACTACCCAACGGAGCCTAATAATGGCGAGGAACTAATGTGGATCTCACCTTGTATATGAAAATCAATTTTTATAGGCTGCCACTAGGATGATATTTTGCATCTTCTACATATATAATTGCAAATTAAAGCACATGACAAAGAAGATTTCAATGTACAGACCAAACCACACATTTTAAAGTGAGAGGGATTTCTTTTTCAATAATACCTATCAGAGCAGTGCAGTTTGTCCTGGATTTTTGTGTAACTACGGTGCAGTTTTGGCATTAAGTGATCGATGCGAACCGAGAAAAGCCTTCAAGTTTTGTTTAGAGCAGGTACAATAGGGTACAGTTAGCAGGCGGTAGTACTATACATCTAAGATAAATCCTACATGGAAGAGTGACAAAATAGGAGAGAGAGAGAGTGGCTGGCGCTTAATCTATGGCCGGGCTGCAGCCGTAGAAAAAGCATCATGACCAATCGTCGTCCATGCATGCTGCAGCTGCAAACTTTTCTCACCATTTGCACGCTTCCCAATGCCCTCAATGAGAGAGAATAGACTATGAGAAAATATTTTTTTTGCTGAGTTGGAGTTTCTGTAGCCCGTTGCTGATTATACTATTAAACCTGCTCTTAGCTGGTTGGAATTGGGACAACAACCAAAGCTATAGCTGAAGAGACCTCAAGGAGTAGTAGGAGGATGGGCGAGCCTCTCGAGCTCTCCCGAAACAGGCGTTTCAGGAGAAAAAAAAAATCCCCTTTTCTCCCGGCCCCTTCCCTTCCATCTCCGGCGACCCTCCGATCGCCGGCGTGAGGGGAGGGGGTGGGATTTTCGTCCCTTTAGTAATCTATTAGCTTAGGTGTTGGTCTTCTCTCGTAGTCGGGTCTTCCTGTCGTCGGGTTCTTCCCGTTTGTTCAAGTCGATGGATCGCCGGAGTTCGGCACCGTCGTCCCGGCGACGGAAGGAGTCGCTTTTAGTCGCCGAGGGTTTAGTTTGGAAAAACAGAGGAGGAGTTGCAATGAGGGGAAGGCAGATCGGTCAAAGGAACTTCTTCAACCTGTCAGATCCAGCACAAGTTTGGTGGCGCTGCCCCCTCCCTGCATCTGGCCGGCACGCAACGACAGTTGCGGCGTTGGCTGCCTTGTCCCCGGACACCATGACCCACCCTCTCCGTCTCCGGCCTCTCCCCCTCCAGATGTTGGGGCGGCGACGGTGTTTGTTGGGGTGGCGACAGCTCTCGGATTCAAGGACAGCAGGTAACAAAATATTTGGCAGCCTGTGCTTCTCGAGAATGCTGCGTTGGTGCTGGTCGGATTGGTGCTTGCATGATCTGTTGGTAGATGGGCTGGGGATGATAGTTGCTCATCAAGGAATTGCAGCTGGCCACCAGGTTAATTTCTCCTCATCCTCCTTTGTTGAGCTCCAAGCTGAAGTAGAAAGACAGCAGATCAATCAATGCCATCCTAGTTCTTGACTAAGGTTGGCCGGAGTTTGGGGACCTCTTTCTTGATGTTTCTATACAGTGGTACCCATGCTGGGTTCGTCGTTCGGGTTGAGGGCAGACCGTCCGTGCAACCTTGTTTCGCAGGATTGCAGTCAGTGCTCCTCAGATTCAATGATAAACTCCGTGGAAATCAACTGTTAAAGTCCGGTGAAGCTCACACCAAAATCTACGACTCAACAACAAACCTTCAATTTGTGCCGTTCCCGTGGAGGCAACCAAAGGGGATTATCGGTTTGTCAAGCGGTGTGCACGTCAATGAAGGCCCATGGATGTAGTCGTCGCGGCAACGCCGCTACTCCTGTCGATCTCATCCATTATCACTGTATGGCTACATCAGGAATTTGTTTCCCTTAGTTCAGTCTGTCTCATCTTTAGAAAGGATGGTTTGGTGTATGATCAATTTGTACTGGGGATTCTTTCCCTAATCTCTGTCTTTTCTATATAATAAAATGAGTACTTTTCAAAAAAAAAAAACCAAAGCTATAGCTTAGCACCTGAACCTACAGAGAGCCACATACATCTCGTTTGATGCAACTTCAGTGCCATACTCTTCGAAGGCACGGCTAGGCAATATACCGCTGCCTGCAGCCATGGCCCTTGACGGGCGCCGTTATTTTGTCCAACAACGGCACTTTCCAGTCTCCGGTGTGCATTCCCATCATTCTCCGGATTCTCTGGCTAGCTCATTCCAGATTCCTCCCATTTCCAGCATCTAGACTAGCTAGCACAGCTAATTCCTCTTCTGTGTTTTTCTTCTAGTTACATACACTGATCTCTGTTCACCACGTAAGTATCACGTGGGACCTGCATGGCGGACACGGGGGGACCAATATAATGCTGGTTATTCTATTTCTTATCCAGTGCCTTCTTCGTTGAGTTGATCTTGGGTGGAGTACTGAGAGAGTGAGAGGCACAAGAAAGACTGCTAAGATATTTTATACCGAACCCTAGGAGATAATATGGGCAGGCGCTTTTATTTCGTTCGTATTGACGCCATGGCACTGGTGGAGAAACCGTCTTTCGTCGGTCGGCCGAATTCCACGATAGTCCCGGATACAATAAAAACCGGGGCTATCTTTAGTCCCGGTTCAAATACTGTCAGGAAACACCAACCGGGACTAAAGATCATATCTTTAGTCCCGGTTGGTGTTACCAACCGGGGCTAAAGATCTCGGGGATCTACTAAAGTCCCACCCCTATATATATGTTTTCTTCCTCCTCCAGCTGCCCGAGCAAGCTTCAAAATTTCTTCAAAAAAGAGGGGAGGTCATGCCAAAATTTCTAGTGAATTTATTTTTGTGATTACATACAAATCGGAGGTGCCTAAAAGGTTTGCAACTTCATCCTCCAATGTTTTTTTTGTCATATTACATTTGGAGCTATGTTTTGCACAGTTTTTTTTCTCCAAAATTTAGTTGTAAGTTGATGAGAGAGAAAATTTGTGTGGGGAAGAAAGAATATATAGAAATTTAGTTGATTTGCTAAAGAAGGTTTTATAAAATAGTTGAGAAGGAAAATATAGTGAAAGTTAATCTTAAATAATAAAAAACAAACTAAAATGAAAATTAAAAGAAGTAAAACACATTAAAATTAGTTTAAAACTTTAGAAATAGTAAATAAGAATTACTTGGTGTAATATTTTATGATTTTTGTATGAATAAAGATATGTCATTATTGTATGACTGTTGAAAGAGTTTGTAATTATCTTATAATTATTGTATGACTGTCATTATTGTAAGAATAATTATTTGTGTACGATTTTTTTTCGACTCATGTAGATGGATCGGCAATGGATGTACGCTGACCGGCGGTCCAAAGAGTTTATTGACGGCGTGCATTATTTTTTGAGAGTGGCCGAAGCTAACAGGCAAAAGGGTTTTATTTGTTGTCCATGCAATAAGTGTAAGAATCAGAAGGAGTATTCTGCATCCAGGACTATTCATTTCTACTTGTTTGAGTCGGAGTTCATGCCAAGCTATAATTGTTGGACATCCCACGGAGAGCAAGGTGTTGAAATAGAAGAAGATGAAGTGGAAGACGACAATATTCCGGACTTTGCTCAGTATGTTGGATTTGAAGGAAATCAAACGGGCGAGGAGGAAAGGGATGCTGATGGTAACGACGTTGCGGATGATCTTGGTCAGATGTTGCAGGACGCCAAAGAGGAGTGCGAAAGTGAAAAGGGGGCCCATAAATTGGATAAGATGTTAGAGGACCACAGAACGTCGTTGTACCCAGGTTGCGAGCAGGGGCACAAAAAGTTGGATATCACTCTGGAGTTCTTGCAATGGAAGGCAAAAAATGGGGTTAGTGACAAGGCATTTGGCGATTTATTGAAACTCATCAAGAACATTCTTCCGAAGGGAAACAAATTGCCGGAGACAATGTACGAGGCTAAGAAGATAGTCTGCCCTCTAGGACTGGAAGTTCAGAAGATTCACGCATGTCCGAATGATTGTATCCTATATCGCGGTGAGGAGTAGGAGAACCTAGAAGCATGCCCTATTTGCAAAGCACTACGATACAAGATTAGACGAGACGATCCAGGAGAAGTTGACGGGCAGCTAACAAAGAAGAGAATTCCTGCTAAGGTGATGTGGTATTTCCCTATAATACCACGGCTAAGGCGTTTATTCAGGAACAAGAGAAATGCTAGAATGATGCGATGGCACGCTGAAGAGCGTCAACAGGACGGGATGTTGAGACACCCCGCCGATGGTTCGCAGTGGCGAAACATTGACAGAAAATTTAAAGACTTTGGAAAGGACGCACGAAACATACAGTTTAGTTTGAGTACGGATGTCATAAATCCTTTTAGAGAGATGAGCAGCGGCCATAGCACTTGGCCCGTTACGATGTGTATCTACAACCTCCCCCCTGGCTATGCATGAAGAGGAAGTACATAATGATGCCGATTATTATTCAAGGCCCCAAGCAACCTGGTAACGACATCGATGTGTACCTAAGACCACTGGTCGAAGATCTTAAACTGTTGTGGAAGAAGGAAGGTGTCCCCGTGTGTGACAAGGACAAACAGGAGGAGTTTAACCTACGAGCGCTGCTGTTCGTAACCATCAACGATTGGCCTGCACTTAGCAACCTATCCGGATAGTCCAACAAGGGGTACAAGGGTTGCACTCACTGTATGGATGAAACAGAAAGTACGTATCTTAAGCACTGTAGGAAGGTTGTATATATGGGTCATTGTCACGACCGGAAATAACCCAACGGGCGTTCCTTACGTGCGTGCATTATTCCTTGTCCCAGGAGGCAAGGTACACCAAAAATTGATACAATTCAGAGTTTAATAAGCGGAAGCGTAATTAATTAATTTATTACATGGGCGGCGAAGACCCAGCACACAAGAAGACAAATGAAAAACAGCGGAAGACTAGGGCGACGACCACATGCGCTTGACGGCAGGCACGAGCTAGACACCAAAGCCTTCATCATCCAGGGGCTCCTCTTCTGGGTTTGGAAAAAATTGAGCAAGACTGAGTACAACCACCGTACTCAACAAGACACACCCACAAGTGCAGAATAAATGCAAGGGAGTACAAGGGAGCCATAATATAGGGGGTTAGGGTTTGCAGTATACAGCATTAAAAGTCACTTAGTTGGTCAAAGCTACTTTGTAAACACGGTCCTAGAGCTATACAATATTATTAACTAAGGCCGTGAACCCACACGAACCTGCCTTAACCCAAGGCCTACGATGATTCAGACCAAACTGGCAACCCGACCCTGGGTCCCAGCTCGTCCCAAACCAACCCAGGCCAACCATTCCACATTTTAGTTGTTAGGCAAGTTTTAAGAATTAAAACACTAACTTGGGTACATTGCTCGGCTTGCCCATAACCGAGGGCGCGGCTATTCGAATAGGTTATACTCTGATCAGAGGTGTACATCTTTACCCACAAGACACATCTTCCTCACGTGTAACCACGTGCCACATACCGCCACGGTATACGGACGGAAGACATGACATAGTTTCCAACCCATCCTAGCCATAAACAAGAGTACCGACCCAACCCCACCTACGGCCGGAACCCCCGGGACAGGTAGGCAGGACTGAGCCCCTAGCAGCAGGACACCGGCCCTGTGCCATGACATCTCGACTACCGGGCCGCAGCTCGTGTAGCCTTCATTTGCCCTAGAGATGTCCATCGACCCCCGACTTCGTCCATCTCCATCCGTGTACTTTTGTTTATAACCAGACTAAGCAACAAACTAAGCCTTACCCACTAGACATGTGGAAGTACGGTAGTGCTTTGCAACAGAGGCCAGAAGACCGGTCCTTATATGGCCGAGGTGCTACTATCAAAACCATGCACCCCGAGCCTAGCCTAAAACCATTTTGAGGGTTTTGAATAGAGGGGGAGGTGTGAATCCAATTCCATAATAATCCAACCATTCCATAGTGTCCAGGTGATAAGAGTATTCCCAAAGTCTAGAGTTGTAAAACCACCTAATGTTGCCTACTTAACCAGCGAAGCATCTACCTAAAATCATACTAGTGGTACCATGAGTAGAGTGTCCACTAGTTGGGGTTTTGTTTTTTTTCTAGGGTGAACAAGGAAATAATAACAATAACAATAATAAGGTCATAACAAAGGTAAATAGGCATGGCTAGATAAAACAGTGATAACGCGGAAATTTAAATAAAGCGATAATGCAATAATTTAAATCAAAATAATTTTATAAACTGGGATTCAATATGTTCAAGGATGATGTGACTTGCCTTGCTCACTTTCCCAAACATCGGCTTCAACCTCCACGAAGAGCGGATCTTCCGAAGCTGCAACAAGCAGGAACAAAGCACAAAAATGGGTTCTTGACTTCTTAAGGAAAAATTAGAGACTTGAACGGTCCAATTCCGAGTTCAAATGGCCAAGTTATGGCCATTTGAAGTTTATATGCTCTTTAAATGAATATTTGCGAATTTCTTCATTTAAATTTTAATTTAAAAAGGGTTTATTGCGTCAGCCGAGGGGAGGGGGCGCGCGGACCAGGTCCACGGGAGTGGGGCCCACGCGGCAGCCTCACGGTCCACGGTGGACCGGGCGCACCCGGGCTCGCACCGGCCGGCGCCGTGGGTCCCACGCGTCAGCCGCACCCGAGGGCACGGGCGGCTGGCGGCCGGGCCCCACACTGCGGCCACTCGGCGCGCCCGAAGGCGGCCACTCGGCGCGGCCGGCGGGAGGTGGCGCCCGCGCCCCTATGGTCGCCGGCGGCGGCCATAGGTAAGGCGGAGTGGCGGCCGAGAGAGGGGAAGGGAAGGGGGAAAAGAGGCGGCGGTCCACGGCTCACCCTAGGTCGACGGCGACGACGAAAAAGGCGGCCGGAGTGGAGGAAGGCGGCGGCGCGGCTCGGGTCGACGGGGTCGACGGCGTTCCGGCGGTCGGCGGACTCGGCGAGGGGGTGGACGGGGTCGACGGCGGTGCGGCGAAGCCGGAGGAGGCGACGCCGGGGCG